GGAGGGGAGGGGTCTTTCCGAGGGGGGGGCTTGTGCTGTTTTATTCTCCTAAATGCTCTTGGATGCCTGAGGAGGAGGAGGAAGAGGATGATGATGAGCATTAACAAACAGTTCCTTTCGGTGGCCTCGCTTTCTCTCAATAAATAAATAAATAGGGTAACCAGGCTTGGGTCCCTGGTGCTGGTAGACATGAAATCGGGGAGGATCCCCCTTTTTTCCCCAGTGGGGGCCCACCGACCCCCCCCCGTTGAACCCCTGCCTTCCTAGGGAGGAAAGGAGGGGGGCTGTGATCCAAGGGGTCCACTTAGGGATGCCCCCCCCCCGAGTTCAGAGGGGCCTCCCCAGTCCCAGAAAAGCCTGCTTCTTAGGAGGGCCTGCCTCAGGGAAAGCTTGAGCCAGAGCCACACCTGTGTGTGTGTGTGTGTGTGTATTTGTGTGTTTTGTGTAGTTTCCCTTCCATCTCTGTTCCTCTTCTCCCCCAAGGGGGCCAAGCCCTAAGACTCCCTAAGTATGTCTGTTGCGTTAAGGATTGTTGGGAAATTGTCAGCAACGCAAAAATGTTAGCCCCCCCCCCAAAAAAAAATGCTGACTTAGGCCCTGTGCTGGCCTTGTGTAGGATTGGCAATGCCAAGTCTCTACTTCTCGCCCTGTGCCTGCTTGAATGGAAGGCGGGCCAAACTGGGGGGATGCTTACTTCTGAGTAAACATGCAAAACGGGGGGGGGGGCTATTGTGTAGGTACCTTTCTCTTAGTGTGGATGGCTTGAGAGCTCTCAGATGGTGATGCTTCTAGGGATTTCTTAATCCAGCCTAAAAGATGGGGTGTGCCCTGATGGGGTGAGTTGCTTATGAAAGAACCGTGCGCCCCCCCCCCGCTCTCTCCTGGGGAGGGGGCGGGCCATGCAGCAATGGCTTGCTCCCCCTTTTGCCACTGGGTCTCTCTCCTCCCTCCCTCCCTTGCATTTCCTCCCTGCCCTCCTGTTGGGCTCTTAGGAGGAGCAGCTGCAGCAGCAGCAGCAGCAGCGTTTGTGTTGAATTACAGAAGGAGGGAATGGAGGGGGGGCTCCTCTTCCCCCCCCTCGTTTCTTCATCCAAAGCAACTGGAGAAGCCTGATGCCTCTTCCCTTTCATGTTATTATTAGGGCTTGCCTTCTCTCCCACTCTCATTTGAGAACCATCTCAGGAAAAGCCATTGCATTCTAAGGATGGCAGACGTTTGGCGGGGGGGGGGGCTTCTGGTTAAAAGAAGCTTAAATGCCTGTTTTCTGTCCTTCCCCCTCTCCTCTTCATCCTCATGTTGGCCAAAAGGCGCCTGATTTTGTAAAAACCTTGGCTGTAGTTCCCTTGCTACACCCAAGTTCTTCCAGAAATATCTGTCTCTACCAATATAGAGCTGGTGATACTCTCGTGTGTAACCTTGTTGGGGGGGGGGAACCCATCATGGCAGGGATCAAACAGGCTGTGCCAGAAACACTGCCTAGGAATGTTCCTTTGGGGTGTTTCTCTGGACATGATGAGCCTTCTTATCTGACCTTTCCCATTCCAGGCTTCTGTCCCAGGGGCCAGACTCTGTATCCCTTAAATGGCTTCACTCTTCAAACAGCTTTGGTCTATATATCATGGATCAGGATCCTAGAGGACGGTAGAGGTTAACACACATATCCATAATTTCCCAGCCTTCCTGTAAGAACATGAGGTTAAATTGATTATCCCAAATGGTCTTTAATCTGTTTGGTAAGATGGGTGAAGTTAAGTAGTGAAGCTTAGTGGTGATGGTGAAGACAGCTTGTGAGGGCTGAAATAATTTGTCCTCAGTCTGGGTTCATGGCCCAAAAAGTGCCTTATGTTTGCTGACATTCATGTAAAAACCTCTTTATCATACGAACAGTTAAAAAAAGAGGTGGCTTACCAAAGTCGTGGGCTTTAACTCCTAAAAAGCCAGTAATAGTTTGCATTATATGCTGCCATCTATCTTATGGTAATCTCTTCTGCGGGAGAGGGGGGAGGGCTGTGAAGCCTTTCTCCAGGCTGTTTGTTCTTGTGAAAGCAGAACGTTTTTGAAAAGCCATTCTGGTGAGCAGTCTACGAAAAAGAAATAGAAGCTTTAATATTAACAGAACCTCTGAGCCGTAACTTACGGTGAAAAAGTACAGCAGTGGCTTTATAGGCATCTTTCAATCATTTCAATCAAAGGCAGCATGTGGAAATTAACAGTACCTTGGCCTTCAGAATGTGTGGGGACGAGGTGGGAGGTTTGAGCAAAATCTAGTTCAAGGGAGTTGTGGTGACTCATGACTTACTGCTTGCAACGTGGCTGGTTTTTTTCCCCCTTAAATCCACATAAGCACTTCTTGCAGTTACACAGATGGGCCTTGAGTTTCTGTCAGCTTGTCTACCAGCTCTTTTTCAACTCTTCCAGAATCTTACTCAAAGTTGCTGTTACCTAATTGTGTAATGGTTTCTGCAGTTGCCATTATAAAATGCTGTTACTAGAAGTTATTACTTTGAAATCGCCCAGAACTGCGTAACTCACGATAGGGAACAGCACTTGCGTCATTGGTCCTGGAAGGTATAGACTACGTACAGTATAGTAATCTCCTCTTTCAAAAGGCCCGCCTGTACTGTATATGAGTTAGAAGACTTCCCGCATGTGTTGCCACTAACAGGAAAATGCATTCAGAGCCGAAATAAACTCTTTTATCTTCTTTGAAGTGGGTGGTTTCCTGGTAAAAAAGGAACATTGTTCTGGGCCTGAGAGTTAGAATTCTGCATTTCATATTTGTGGCAGTTATAAATAGCCAAAGTAAAAATGAAAGACTGTTCATAAAATTAAATGAGGTACCATGTCAGTGTCCAGGAGGGGAGAAAACAGACTGGCCATTTCTGATGCTGTAGATCAATGAGTCTTTGTTATGTTGTGTGTGTGTGTGCGTGCATGCATTTTATTGTTCTGCTTTTCTGCCAAGTAAAAAAAGGTCCAGGGAGGCTAGGAAGAAACAGAAGAAGGTGGCCTTCCATGGCCACAGAGCCTTGGTCTCCATCCAGCCCAGGGTGACTGTCAGAACTGATTGGGAGCAGCTTGGGTGTTTTGCGGCTTCGGGCTGTGTTTATTCCCTGACCCTTTGCTGGTATTCCATGGTGGTGGTTCTTCCCTCCAAGCTTGGGTGTGCTCAGGGTGTTCTTGCATTGATTAGCCATGTTAAAAATACAGAATTAAAAGCAGCTTTGACTGAGTGGCTTTTGTGTGATGTTAGAATTTTTAAAACCCCGTCCTTTAAATCAGCAACAGACCAACTGGTATGCCAAGGGCCTGCCTGAGTGTCAGAAGTTTATCATGGTTACTTGGGTGCTGCTACTGATGTTTTGCTGAGGGTGGCCCAAACACAGCATAGAAGATAAAATGTGCAAGACATGGAAAATCTGATTGCTAGATGCTACCTGGTCATAACCTTTCTGGGTAGTCTCAGCAAGTAGAGGTGCTCAGGAGACATTGCCCTGGAGGTGAAAACGGGGAAGAATTGCAAAAATTAATAATTCTCTTCTTTCTGGTATATTTGCCCAGACAGTTTTGAAGTAAGCCAAACGTGATCTTAATACCTGGGGTGTACTTTGAACCTTGGCAGCCTAGGGTCTCCATGGACTGCAACTCCCAGAATCCTTTGCCACCAGCTCTAGGGGCCAGGTCTTCTGGAATTTGCAGTCCAAGAACACCCGGGTTGCCACTGATGTCAGAAGTTGTTGGCAGGTTTTAGTATCTGGGGAAGGTTCAAAAAGCTGGGCTTGAAGTCATTTTTTTTCATTATGCTATTTTCTGGTGGTGACTAGTTCAATTATTTGAATGCAGTGGATGAGCTTAGCAACTTAAAAGAGAAATTTCCTGCCCTACTTTTCTGTCCAAACTGATTGGACAGAAAAGTATGGGCAACATTTTTAATATGATACAAGCCAGCAACAGTGACTCAGAAGTGACGTTTTTAGCTTTATGCCTGTTGTTTTCTGCCATCACGGCACCCTGTGCTTAATAGTTTAAATGAAAGCCGTGCCCTGAAAGATAACTAATGGAGGCTGCAGTGTGGAAGCACTTAAGTGGCCCTGAGAAGAACACACGCAATAGAGAGGGAACTGTGTGCCGGCAGGAGGAGGATCGCTTAGGAGAGAGCAGGCCTTCGAAGCTAGGCTGCAGGAGGCATCGTTGGTCCTGCTGTGCAAAGGAGAGCCTGCAACCAACTGTTGGGCTTGCTTGTTTATTTCTGAATTATTATTATTTATTTACAATATTTTTACCCCATGAGCAATCTGCAGAGCAGTAGACGTCGGAAGAAAGGCAGGACCTATAAGTCAGTTTGCTCTGTTAAGGAAGGAATGCCCCTTTTTTTGTTTTGAAAATATATTGGCACGTGACCGTGGCCTGAGTGATCCTGTTGTCAGGCTGGAAGCAACCAGTGGCTGTAACCCGTGTTGGCTCTTCCATTGGCATCCAAGTCATTTCAGTCTTTTTAACGCTCGAATACAAAACAAGTGACCATCTTCCTCCCGTTTTGCTAAACCTGATGTCCTCGGATACATTCAGACTCGCCCGATGATGGCCCTCAGACAGACATCAGGAAGGCTATGGAGAGTTAGCCAGTGCCACAGCTGGATCCTGTAATGTACTGTAGGACTTTTCCAAATAATGCCCTCTCCATGGGAAGTGACTTCATCAGTTGAAGTCATAATCTGTGAAACCTGTTTTGTGGGGAAGAAGTGCCTCTGAAAACTTGACCCTGTGCATTGAGCTGGTATGTGGGGATCCTTAAAGGGTGAATTTACGTGTGATAGGAAAGAGTCTCGGGATTTTTAACATTTCCGTTAGGATACCACAAGCCACTACTGAATACTGTCTGAAAATCTGCTTAGAATTTAGCAAAGAAATAATAAGCCAGTGTTCTTGCCATGCAAAACAATATTTCCAGGCAGTATCTCTCCTTGACAAAATAATCTGTACTTCAGATTGTATGATGTTTTGTCTTAATTCAGTTACTCTCTTTTCAATAGCTTCAGGCTCACCTGTAATATAACAGCTTCAAGGTAAATGCCATGAAGCAGGGTAGTAGTATCCCCATGCTGGGATGGAAACACGCAGGTGTTTTAAGTTGATGAGTGAATGATTTGAGATTCTTGTTCCTTATACAGTACAGCACAGGTAGTTTAAAATCTGCAATTAGCAAACTTAGAAAATGGGTCTCCTATGGCCAGGAAATTTCTCTTTTAAGTTGCTAAGCTCATTCACTGCATTCAAATAATTGAACTAAACTTTTCTTTAAAAAGTAAAATCCTACAGCAAACTACAAAGGTTGAACAGAACAAAGAAAACACACAAAAGTACAAAGCCTCAATTACTAAGGTTTCTGCAGACAGCTGCATTTCAGTTTTCACTTGCCCTATACCAATGAAAACTTGAAAACTTTTTTTTTCCAAACCTGGAGCCTTTCTTGAGTAAGAGCTCTTCCTCGCTCTGCATGTGGTGGCAAGTAGAGCATCATTAACCAGAATTAACTTGTTCAGAAAAAAAAATCAACACCCCGTTTCCCGCAGATCAAAAGGTTCACATTGCCTGCTTCTGTGCATGGTTTTGGATATGCTAATTCCACACCCTGTAAAAGTAGCATTTTTGCTTTTTAGAGCGTGTACGATTTTGGAATGCTGACACGAGGTTTCTTTCTTTGTTTTTCTCCAGGTTTTTGCCAGATAAGATGGATGGCAGCTTTGATTGTGATTGTGGCGAGCTGGAGCCACCTGATCATTAACTAACGGCATCTTTTGTAAACCAAGAGTTGCCTCTTCCTTGATGAACTAGGCCATAAACAAAAGGAAACAAAAACCGAAAAAAGCAAGAGGAGAAAAGTGTGCTTACCAGCTTCACAGAATGAAGCTGCTCAGGGCCTGTCCAACACTGAATGTATCTGCACTGTGAGGAGGATGTTAGTAGAAGTCTGTTATGTGCATATTTATTCACATTTTTGTTAAATGTTAGCCAGTTTAGCACAGTAGATCGGAGTGCGTAATATAATGTCACTTCATTCCGTTTTGATTTACTAGTATTTCCTTTTAATGTCTGCGGATATGCTGCACCTTGCTTGAACTATGAATGCTGCAACCTCTCTCTCTTCGCTCAGTTTGATTTGTAGTGTAAGTTCTATGTCTCAAGGGGTTCCATCAGGCCGGGTTGGCTGAGGAGGCAATGAAAGTGTCAAGAACCCATCCTGCAATCAGCCAGGCGTTTTTCTTCTCCCTTTCTGCAAGATCCTTCATATACCAGTTGAAGCATCTCTCCCTTTCTATACAAGCTTAATAGTTTTAAGAGGGGGGAAAAAAAACCAGACCACACCAAATTTTCAAAATGGCAGAGAAGTTTGAAAGTCTGATGAACATTCACGGCTTTGATGTAGGCTCTCGCTATATGGACCTGAAACCATTGGGCTGTGGCGGCAATGGCTTGGTTTTCTCTGCCGTCGATAACGACTGTGACAAAAGAGTCGCGGTCAAGAAAATTGTCCTGACCGATCCTCAGAGTGTCAAACATGCTCTGCGTGAGATCAAGATCATTCGAAGGCTTGACCATGACAACATTGTTAAAGTGTTTGAAATCCTGGGTCCCAATGGGAGTCAACTGACAGACGATGTGGGCTCTCTGACAGAACTGAACTGTGTTTACATTGTCCAAGAGTACATGGAGACAGACCTGGCCAACCTGGTGGAGCAGGGCCCCTTGCCGGAAGAACACGCCAGGCTCTTCATGTACCAGCTGCTACGTGGGCTCAAGTACATTCACTCGGCAAATGTTCTGCACAGAGATCTCAAGCCAGCTAACCTGTTCATCAATACCGAAGACTTGGTGCTGAAAATTGGGGACTTCGGCCTTGCACGGATCATGGACCCTCATTATTCCCATAAGGTACATGAAGAGGGGCAGAGCAGCTCTCTCGCTCTTGCTCTCTCTCCCTCTCCCTCTCCCTCTCTCCCTCTTTCTCTCAGGTGCTGTATTCCTTAAGCTGGTTGTTGTCTAAACCTTCAAGAGACACTGCTCGCTCTGTTCCTTTATGAGACCAACAAATGTTTTTAAGAGTTACTTCCAGGTTTATCTTTTTTTAAGAAAAAACACTGGCCAAAAGGGCTGGCTTTCCAGCAGAACATTCCCTTCAGCAGTTCAACGTAGTAGCCTTGTGGAAGAGCTCTCTGTAGATCTTGAGACTGTGAGTTAAAGCGGTGGGGCGTTCTCTATGGGGCTTCCTCATCTGCAGCTCCGTCTGCCTTTCAGGTAGAGGCAGTTCAAGAAGGCGATGAGTGGCTCAAGAGGATTCCTGCCTCTTGGCCTAGCTAGCCGGCCTCACAGTTGCCACCCCACCCTTAGCTTCTTGGAGGAAAAGTATTATACAGATGTAATAAATGGAATGCACATAACATTTCTCTCTCTCTCTGCAGGGCCATCTTTCTGAAGGATTGGTAACGAAATGGTACAGATCGCCTCGCCTTTTGCTGTCGCCCAACAACTATACAAAAGCCATTGACATGTGGGCTGCAGGCTGCATCTTTGCTGAAATGCTGACAGGGAAAACTCTCTTTGCAGGTTGGTACAAACCTGTCATGATAAGCAGAAAGTGCTTTGCAGACTTACTGGTGCCAGTGAAAGCTTTCCAGGTCGTTCACTGTGAAATAAAAGGAATGAATGTTTGCAGATATTGGTGCAGAGAAGTGAGAGGTAGGAGCAGTTGTTTTGAAACTCATAGCAGTTCTGGTTACAACATATTGATGCTAAGGTGGCTTTGAGATCTCAGAGTGTAGAGTCAGGCCAGCTGGTGCCAGAGCCATATGACAGATCGCAAAAGGCACAATTAATATGTTGATCTTTATCCTGGCGTCATGTGTTCATTGAGGTAGGACTCACCCATCAGGATATGTTGCAAACAATACTTTGCCCCCAAGCAAGTTGGATATTCAGTTTATTGACCTTGGAAGGATGGAAGTCTGTGCCAACCTTGAGCCAGACACCTGAGCCTGTCAGAATCAGACTCTGATCATGAGCAAAGTCTTGACTGCAGTACTGCAATTTAGCCACTGCACCATGAGGATCATCTTTTTAAAGTGTTATTCTACAAACTTTTGGATTCCCCACTTCTTCTGACAACTTCCTCTTGTGTGTGAAGGCTGCTGTTTAGATTATATATGGACTGGCATGCAAGCGTATATAGTCATGGTAGTATTAAAAAAAAAACTTCGTTTGTCATGGTTATGAAACTGCCTAAATGTCTAGAACCCTAGTGACGTGGACTTTCTGACCTTTTAAACCTTTTAGGCGCACATGAACTTGAACAGATGCAGCTGATTTTGGAATCAATTCCTGTTGTGCATGAAGAAGACCGCCAGGAACTTCTGAGCGTAATTCCAGTTTACATTAAAAATGATATGACTGAGCCACACAAACCTTTAACTCAGCTCCTCCCAGGGATTAGCCGTGAAGGTAACTTGTCGCTGTTCCTTCTTTGTTCCTTCCACCTCCCACTCCTCCTGGCTCGCCTGCATTGGATAATGAGTGTGTGTTCACATGCGTAACATCTCTCACAACACTTTGAAACACACAGGGTGGGCAAGATTTTGGACAGGTTGTGGCCTGGTGTTTTCCAGCTCAGGTGTGCCCTGTGCAGTTAGGGGGCTTTCGTGTGTATCCCATTGCACAACTTTTTAAAGTCGTGTCCCTTATTAACACTCTGCTGATAACATTGGCTTTCCCTCTGAATTGCCTGGCTCATTGAGTTTGAAGGGTGGTTCAGTAGTCTTTGGGGAAATCAAACTGGGTTTAACTTAAGATGTGAACATTCAAAATGAGAAAGATACATTCATGGGGAAGCCTTTTTGTTTTGTTTTTTGGTGGAGGGCGGTATTCATTGGCGGCCCACAGTCGATCACAGTGCACGAAGTGTGCAGCCAGAGTTTCTTCCTCTCGTCTCTGGTAGACTTGCCGCTTCTGACACTGACCTAAAAAGGCAGTGACTGATCCTTGTTTGCTACCATACAAACCCTGTTGGGTTCCAGTGTCAAAGAAGTGCAGCAATGCAAGATGCTCTGCATTGTGGCGGTGGGCAAAGGGTGTGTGGAGGCAAAAACAGAAATCAAGAACTCTTTTCCCCGTTTGCATTGCACTCACCCTAATCATTTCCTGGCTCCCAAGTCTATATGATGAATGCCCAGAGGTATCTCATCTTGGCCCCAAATATAGTTTGTGCCATGCTTGACTTTTGTGCTCTGCTTCACGAGGTGCTGGTTTTCAGAAACTGATGGCTGTTTTCGTTTTGCCCCCCTTTTAGCACTGGACTTCCTGGAACAAATCCTGACCTTCAGCCCCATGGACCGATTGACAGCAGCAGAAGCTTTATCCCACCCCTATATGAGTATTTACTCCTTTCCAACAGACGAGCCCATATCAAGCCATCCTTTCCACATTGAGGATGAGGTGGATGACATTCTGCTCATGGATGAAAGTCACAGCCACATCTATAACTGGGACAGGTAAAAACGGCTTTGGGAGTCCTTCTGCATTGCATGTAGGTTGTGCCTCAGTCCCAGGTGGCAGCCAGTGTCTTAACATTAACCTTAAAGGAAAGGCCTTTAAAGGGGCAGAAGCACCTTAAGGTGCTCAGGAAGAGAGGTGGGACATTAAGCAGAATGATGGGTAATGGCTCTCCTCATTTTTGTTAAGTTGGATTCTCTTGGAATTTTCCCCCACTCTTTGTTTGCTTGCTTGCTTCTTTAAAACATTTCCCTGCCTTTCTCTTTAAAAGGACCCAAGGCAGCTCTCCTTATTTGGTATAAAGTACTTTTATTTTTTAATGCATCATTGTCGCTTCTTCAACACAAATTGCTCAGTCTGCCAAACCACTCCCATTTCCATTGTCTTCTGCTATCACCACTTTAGGGAATGGCATAGAATCCCATGTGTGAGTTTGACACTTTACAGTTAGCGCTGCCATGGGGCAGTGGTCCGTATCCCCATTCTGACCATTACCAGAGATGGATCAGAAAGGTGAATGTAGCTGCAGAGGAATGTCTGCATTAATGCATCCTCTAATTCAGTATAGAGTCAACATCCAATCTTGGCCATGGAAACTCATGGGGGAGAGGTGGTGGTAGTGGTAAATCACTGCTTAAGCATCTCATATACCTCAAAAACCCTGTTAGGATCACTTTAACTCAGAAATGACAAGACAGCACATAAAACAACAGTCCGATATATTGACTTGGCTATTAAAAGGGCAGGAATATCCCAATGGGGAAACTTGCAGGAAGAAACAAAGCAGCGGATATAGTAAAAGAAACCAATAGTTACCCAACCTATCAAAAAATTGTCATTCCACTTCTGCCTTTGCTACCGCATAAATGAAATTGGATGTCAGAGTTTCAAGCCATCTGAAAGATCTAGTCCTTAAGTTGTATTCAGTTGCTGAAAACTCTGAAAATTAAAGATCTGTAAGAAATGTGAGAAGCTGACAGTTAAAAGGGGATGCTTTTAAGGCTAAAAAGTATGTTGTGATTCAGAGTACTTGCCTATTCACCGTGTGAGCAAAGTGGATGCCTATAACTCACTGACAGGGGCCATTGATCATTTCAGATACCATGACAGTCAGTTTTCAGACCACGAGTGGCCTGTTCACAACAACTTTGAATCCGATGAAGTTCAGCGTGACCCAAGGGCTCTTTCTGACGGGACTGATGAAGAAGAGGTGCAAGTGGACCCTCGCAAATACCTGGATGGCGATCGTGAAAAATACCTGGAGGACCCTGCTTTTGATACCCACTTTTCCACTGAGCCTTGCTGGCCCTATCCAGATCACCATGAAAACAAGTACTGTGATCTGGAATGCAGTCATACCTGTAATTACAAAAGGCGGTCCTCTTCGTACCTAGATAATTTAGTCTGGAGAGAGAGTGAGGTGAACCATTACTATGAGCCCAAGCTCATAATCGATCTTTCTAACTGGAAGGAACAGAGCAAAGAGAAGTCAGACAAAAAAGGAAAGTCAAAATGTGAAAGGAACGGATTGGTGAAAGCTCAGATAGCTCTGGAGGAAGCCACACAGCAGTTTGTAGAAAAGGAGAAGAAGCAGGGGTTTGACTTTGATTCCTTTATAGCAGGAACCATCCAGCTGAGTTTGCAGCCGGAGTCGTCCACGGAGATTGAGAAGCTCAATGACCTGAACAGCTCTGTGTCCCACCTAGAGCCGAAAGGCATTGCCAAGTCAGTCAGCCGAGAGAAGCAGGAGAAGGGCATGGCCAACCTGGCCCAGCTGGAGGCTCTGTACCAGAACTCCTGGGAGGGCCAGCAGCTGGTCAGTGGCGGGGAAGAGTCCTTCCTCATAGGCCAGTTTTGTTGTGAAGTCAGGAAGGACGAGCAGATAGAGAAGGAGAATCCCTGCACCAGTTACCTGGACAGGTTTTTTAGCAAGAAAGAAGAGGCAGAGATAGTAGACTCCGAGCCAGTTGATGATGGGAAGCCGGGGGAGAAAGAGAGAGAGGGAAGCTTTTTAAGTCATAGTGGGGAATTTCTTTTCAATAAGCACCTCGAAGCGATAGGTATTCCTCAGTTCCACAGTCCCGTTGGCTCACCTCTTAAATCAATACAAGCCACACTAACACCTTCTGCTATGAAGTCATCTCCTCAGATTCCCCATAAAACATACAGCAGCATTCTGAAACACCTAAACTAAACAGCAGACATTTCCTTTTTTTGTACTCATGAAACGTGTGTTCTTTTTTATTGTAATTTTTTTACTTGAAAATCAAATGATGTTAACTTTGGTATGGATTTCCTTAATTTCCTGTTTACCCTTGGTTTTGCAATCCAGACTTTTCTTTACCTGACAGTTCTTTTTTTTTTAAACTGGCATGTCATTTGCACACAGAGGTAAAAGAACAGAGCAAAACAGTGCAGATTGCAGGAGAAAGCAAGAAGAATATGCACTAAACCAGCTTAGAAACACTCTCCGTTTAAACCGTTCATGCTTTGCAGGGTTAAGAATCTTGCCTTGAAAATTCACACAGTGAGATTATACATAATTGCATGAAAATATCTATTTTTTCCCTGAAACATTTTTCATTCATATGTATTTTAAAAAAATTTTCATACTGTACACATTTCTTAGGCACATGATACCAGCAGCAACTGTAAATGAATGCAGAATTTGGTACGCATGTGTTATCTACCTCAAGGTAACAGCAGTATGTGGCAAAACATTGACCACCTGTAGTGCTTTTTGTAACGCACTTCCATATAGCCAGCATTGTTGTAGTAGGTGGTATTACAGAGAAAACTCATTCAATATTTATAAATATTCTGGTATGCATTCTTTATAGTGGGAATGTTAATATGCAGCGTTTTTATTTATTTTAGCAAATTATATTTTCTGTAATGATAGAAAGTCAAATTTTTTGGACTTGCTTTACAGATAAAGTTCTTGTTAGCACTATGGTTTATTGCCTACATCGCTGAAACAGATTAAATGACATCCCCTTATTCTGAGGTGATCCATACAGGTTTTTTTTAAAAAGAGTTTTCACTTCAAGTCAGGCACTCGCTGTGTATAGGAATTTGCAGTTTGGAGGTGCCTGATCTCTACAAAGAAATTAGGAATTGTTTTATTATAAAATGCTCCTAGAAGTCTTAATTGTGTTAATTTTTTAAAAACAATTTTTGTAATGTTAGCTGTGTGCATGGAAACAATTAAGGTACAACATTACTGTAGGTTAAAAGTTCTATCTTGTCAGGCATTTTGGTTTTATTCTATGTTTTTATTGAATGATACCCTTGTCTCATTCCCAGAGCAAAGCATGAGTGTAATTAGGTTAAATGTAGCATGTAGCTAATCGGTCTTCTGGAAGTTTGTTTTGCCTTCTGGGTTCTGTTTTTGGTTTTTTATTTTTATTTGTTTGGGAAACTATGTACCATTGGCTCCCCTGTTTTAAAGAAAGAAACCAATAAAACACGGCCAGCGAAACAGACCCTCTTGTGTCTCAGCCTGGGAATCCCTCTGGCCGCCGTGAGTGTTAAAAACAGCACAGGGTTCCTGTCTGTTCTGAGACTGAAAGAAACGATGGTGGTGGCCACAGGGGCTCATGTGTGTGGTTTTGTAGGTGAAACATCCATCAAATTTTCAGAATTGGCTCGAAAGAAAATTCTGACCTTTCAAGAAGTGAACTTTGCCCCTCCTCCAGGGCACCTCTGCCCCTGCAGATGCCTTGGGCCGATTCCCCCTTCCTTTACTGCTGGTCATACTGGGAAGGGCCTGCAGAAGTCCAGACCGCTGGAGGGAGGGGCCAAGGTGATCTTGCCCGGCTAGTCTTGAGCATCGTGGCCTTTGGAAGTTGAGGCGAGCTTCCAAGCTGGGTGATCCAGCTCTGTGCGGGGTGACCTGGGTCAAGCGGCTTGCCTGGCACAGCTTTTGTGGAAAGAGGCTTTCTTTGCCAAAGTGTGTCGCTCATCCTTAAAACGTTCTGCATCTCTTCACCCATGATGTTTATTCCATCTTCTATTCACAATGTTGCTGGAGGTGTATGAATCCTGTTCCATAGCATCGGCGTGGGAGTGAAGAGGAGGAATTGGCCTGCTTTTATAGCTGCGAAAGAATGAATCCATTGAAGTACAGTGCCTTGTAGACAGTTTACAGTTGCCCAAGATGGGTATTCAGATTTTGATTTGGGTTTGAAGCAGGAAACGGTGCAGAAAATTTAGACCGCTCCACTACCATGCTTGCTGATTTGTTTCAGATAATTTCAAAGTACTTGGCCAGTGCAGTGAGAATGCATGTGATACTGGAGCGGTCGTTTTCTGCGCAAAGCGTGTCGTTTTCATGCTTTGGGGCATGAATTGTAATTGGAAACTGCGGCAGCCGGTTTCCCAGGGCTACTTGGCACCTGACCAAAGCTTAGTTTTAATAATTCGAGTATGAGAAGAATGCTCAGCAATGCTCTTTAAAAAGAGTTTAGGAAGCTTAGCTTTTTCTGCCACATTGCTGTGTCTCTCCTGATGGCTGAATCATTTTAAGCAGTCCTTTTTCACACGGCTACATCAGCTTGGGCCCTTGTGATGATGCCATCTTGGGACCTGGATTGCCGAAACCAGCAGAAAATACAGAAGTATTCTGGGAGGCCAAAAGCTGTCCCAGTTTTTGAAAACCACCACGAGGTTCCAAGTCATTTCCATTGATCGCAGGTGGTTCCCTTCTGCGAGTTGTACTGCACTCAAAGGGTCTGAGATTTCCACCTCTCTGCCTGCCTCTTGTTTCTGGTGGTCATTGAGAACCACATTTCTTATTTAATAGGTGGCAACCTGAAGCCTCCATTCCGGGTAACCCAAAACAGAATTGCTGAAGTTTTCCATGCTCATCAGTTCTGAATTCTGGCTCGGGGCTGGCTGCCGGGTAATAACGCCCTTAAATAAACTCTTCCCAGGGAAATGTCAAGCAAGGAGGTCTAAATAGGACCTGCTGATAGAACCTAGGTAACAGTGTATCTATTGCAAAATAGGAAAGTGGCTTTTCTTTCCTCTCTGAACTCCCCAGACGACAAGGAACTCTTCAGACAAAGCAACTTAGTAGACTCGAAAGCACAAACTTCCTGAAAGAGAAAAAAAATGGGGTGGAAAAGCAAGGCCTGAATGCTACATAGCCCAGGCACTGCCCAAGGTTCCTCTCCCATTTCTCTCCTGGTCTTGATATAAAGGGGTTGCAGATTGGTGACCGCTTGCGTTTTTCTCTCCAGCCCCAGGTTTCGGTCTGCATAATATTTCTTTTGGCTGCTTTTGTTCAGTGACCTGGCTGCACTCTTGAAGTCTTTGTAATGTGCTGTGCCTGCTTTAGCAAAACCTTGGGTTCTCCTTGCATTCTAAATCCACACCATGCCGGGAGCAAGGCTGTGACAGAGGAATGCCCTTTATCTCGTTGCAGAGAGCCTGTTCTGCCATTTTGTACAAGTCTCTCTAGCTCTCCCTCGCGTGTCCCCCCCCCGGGTTCCTTTCTAACGCTGGATTACAGCAGGAAGCACCCCTACGACGACTTTTAAGATTGCTTTTCTAATTTAGCAATGCAAGGGTGCCAGTCAGCTGTATTAACTGACTCAGGCTGATAAGATGGATGGCAGTCTTCCAGATACTATAAACAGAATGGGAATCGGAGCTAAGCAGGCGTTTATGAGAAAAGCCAGTATTTCGAAATAGTACAGGTGTGTTCTCTGAAGTCAGGATATGAGTGTTGTTTCCTGGTTAGCAGGAGGTACTTGCCCCAAACAGGATGATTAGGGCTGAGCCAAGAGCGCACGGCCTTACTCTATTACCCTTAAGGATCAAAGCTGAGGTCAGCGCATGGTCATTCTGTCACTACGATCTTTGCTACTTGGATTTTGTATTTCTGTTGGGAAAGATCTGGTGGGATGAGAACGTTGCTTAGAAAACATGTGGCAGTGCATTTGAAAATGTATGTATTGCGATCTTCAAGGAGTTCCGTGGTCAAGTGGGAGAGAGGTGGCATAGGTAAATAATACACTCTTCTAATTAATGCCTCTGTTTAAAAATACACACACACACACACAATGTCAGTTCTGTTTAAAGCCATTTTTAAAAAGAACCCTTTTCACCTCTTCAGCTATAAAATGCTGTTGGAAATGACTCCTGTGTGCTTAACAGTACAAACGAAAACGCTTCAACTGTGTTTTCCTTCACACTTCACTAATTATAGTTTTGGTGTGACCAAAATCATATGAAAAGACTAACAGCTTTTCTTGTGACTCACATGTCAGTTTGGATGAAGGTTTATTTAGGGTGTGCTTCTGCTATGGCTTGAGCAAGCTGGCACGGGAACGTTTCTGAGAAACGATTGAGAAGCAGATGGGGCTATTGGCTTCCGTTCTGCTTGTCGGCCTGTCACTCTCATTCCAGAACGGAGAGATGGTTGGGCGGGAATTTCATTTCTCTCTCTCTCTCTTTTTTTTTCTTGTTGCACGAGGGGTGGGTTGTTTTCCCCACAAATGTAAGAAGAATTATGCAGCAAGATATTATGTCTAGGGGGTGAGGGACGGCACAGCACTGGTTCTCCCTCCCTCCATCCTCATCCACGACCCCCTCAGCATGCATGGCCTTGCCCCTTTTCACAGCCGGACGTTGTTCAGCAGAATCTCTGCCAACCGGGTGCCACTGTCCACAGGTTTAATAGCATCCCAGGTGAATGGAGGATCTGATCCCAACGTGCATCTTGAGTTCCACTCATTCATGGGTACAAGATGGAGGTATCCCTTCGCACCTGGGGGGGTTGCACCCTCCCATGTCAGGGGACATGGCTTGTGTGGCAACAGCGCCTCCCGCAGGGTGTCACCCCACTCGTTGGAATTTTGGCAAACACTTCTTACCCTTTGATATCCTTGGCCATTCTCTCCTGAAATAAATCCCTGATGTTTGGTAGTGAAGACTAGGTGCCTCTAGAAGTTCAAGATCTCTGGAAAGCTGAAAGTGGAGAACCAGGGCTTAGAGCTGCACACAGAAAAAGCCTGCCCCTGGCTCAGCAGGAAGAACCTCTCTAGCCATCAAACGTTACCAGCCCACCGCAGTGCAAGGACAGGGCTTGAGTCAGGGCTCGCTCAGAAAGGGTGCAAGTTGGTGCCTGCACTTGTGGGTGAGCTCTCCCACTGAGTCAATGGACTCTGCCCTCGGTCTCTGGGATTAAGGGCACAAGCAGGAGCTGTTCGTTCCGAGGACGAGATTTCAGCTGGCCTTGATCTGTGCTCCAGATGAATGTATACAACCAGCTCTGGTGATCCAATCAGCTGAACTGGGAGTTCTATGAACCACCCCCAACCGGCCCCTTTCCTTCACCTGCCAAGGTGGCCAGCAAAGGGCCCCGAGCCCTGCCTTCTGCAACACGGACCAAAGGCTGGTATCATTCTTGCTTCTGAACGGAACGGGCCTTTATTAGCGCTGGATGCCTGGGCTGTTGCCCCCCCAGGACGTCCTGGGCTCCCTCGTTCATTCCCAGAAGACCCGGCCCTTTCTGGTCTTGGCTGAAGTGAGAGCCTCGGCTCCTGGTCTGGATTCAAGTGATGAACACGTGCCCCCTCGGTTCCTGTGGTGACCTTGCAAGCTACCAAAGTCAGGGCTGGCTGTGGAGCTGAGACTTCTATCCAGTTGTCAGTCCCAAACAGAGTTGACCCCAAACTGACTCAAAGGAGTTTATGCAAGTGCTAAAGCGCTGGATTTGGTCCTGAGTTTGCAAGGTAGCCCTTCCTTGCCCCTGTGGCATCTCCAGGGGTTATCCAGAGCCGTCTGGCCACCACTCTCGCAAAGCCACGCCTGCAGCAACCTGCGAGCAAACAATGGCCACAACTGCAACCTCGGCAGAGCTGGTTGGCATAACCTGCAGTCCAGTTGTCCTCTCCTCCTCACTTAAAATCTGTTGCCTTTTTAAATATAGGCATATATAAATATAACATTATGAGACTGAAATGTCTCTCTCTCACACACACACACCTCAGTCCCCTTTTTATAAGGGACATTTTTTTTTCAAGTGCTTCCTACTGATCTTGCAAGCCTGGCAGCTAAAAATTGGCTCATCAAAAAACAAACAAACAACTAAATATATATTCCTTGGTCAGAACCAGCTTCCCCCCATTTTTAATGAACCCACTAATAAAGGAGCAGGGTGTGCAGAAAAGGCTTTGTGTGCTAATGACAGTTGGAAAAGTCACACGAGTCGCAGGCCTGGGTGGGGACAGAACAGCCCGGCTTAGAAGAGTGTTCGGAAAAGTTACTCCTTGGACTACAACTGCCATAATCTCAGGAAATCTTGTTGGCTGGAGGATCTGAGGCATTGTTGCTCTGGAACGGTGGGTTTTGCCCCCAACCCATCCAGAGGGGGACGCGGCTCCGGGACGCTTAGCCTGTTAACCAAGTATGTTCCCAGAGCAGCTGGGATACTGGAGAAGGGGTTGCGGGGGGGGGGGAAGAGAGAGAGAATGTT